GTCCATGTCGGTGATAGGTGCAAGTCAAAAGCAAGGGGCAACTGTGTCTTGGTGGATACGAAGTGGAAGGAGGCTAGGCCGTTAATAGAGCTGAGGAAAATCGAGTTGGTGGGAATCAGACAGTTGCCGCACAGTCTAGAGAGCTGGCCTTGCGATAAAGTCTTTTGACGCTCAATATACACTCTTGTAACGGGAGGCAACAGAGCATTCGTAGTCATGAACGAGAAGCTTCCAAGTCTTAGTCGGATCCGGTAAGACGGGCGCCACGTGTGGCTTGACCAGATGTCCTCGGCATCTAATCGCACGACCCATGAAAGTGCTTACCTAACAGCGTTCAACCCTCCCCATGCCATGAATGGAGACAACAGGCCCCGGCGGAGTTTATCAGTGGGAGACGATGGAAGTCGGGGGGCGAGGAGGTGGCACAGGGCAATTAGGGGCACCTCAGCAGGGAATGATAGGCCCCACCCCCTGAGCGCGGAGCCATTAAGAGTGACGCGAGATGGTCGTTGCAGCACTTTAGTGGCTTCGCGTCGTCCCCGCTGCCGCACCCAAGATTAGCAAACTGTCAGATTTAGCAGGGATTCTCTTGATTTTTTGATGACTTCCAAGCAAACCACACCTAACGAAAATCTGCTCGAGGCCACAGTACGGAGTACCGACTGCGAGAGGAGTACCGACGTACTTTTTAGCTACCTAGGTAATTTGCTATCTTGTATCCATCCCCCCTTGAAGGCCCCCTACATATACGAAACTTCGTACTCGACACATCCATCTTCGTCCATCTGCTGGTGTTGTACGACCGTCCCGTCCGCTCATTTTCCTTCGGCTGCACGCACCTGCTGCTTTTTGCCTTCGAGTCGCCGTGCTCCCTTCGACATCGGTCCACGGTTTGGTTCAGTCCACTCCTTTGTCCTCCTACACAACGGCGACGTGCCTCGCATGCGTCCCCTTGTGTTCCCCTAAGCCACCACTCTTGCCTCCGACGACACGCGACCAATGCGAAGAACATCTGTGTCGCTGCCGACCAAGCAACCCGCCCGAGATCCTCACGAGAAACCCGGTCGATTTGCACCTGCTCGAAAAACTGGTCTCTTTGCCAGCTTAGGAGATATGTCCCAAGCACAGAAGACCCGCTGGATGCGGACGGGCGCCATCGCCTTCTTCGTCGTCTTTCTCTTCTGGTACCTGTCTCCTAGAGGAGTCAATGTTCGCAGTCCTGGAGGTGCGCGATGCTTGAATTCCTGCGACAGAGCGATGCTAACACCTATCTTGCAGTCTCGACCGGTGGTGGTGGCCAAGTCCCGGCTGATGCCTCTTACGGCACTGAAAAGTGCTCTGTCTCAAGCTCCAAGTCGAAGCCCATTGTCCAATATGTCCTGATGATCGACGCCGGCAGCACGGGATCCCGAATCCACGTCTACAAGTTCAACAACTGCGGCGCTACTCCCGAGCTCGAGCATGAGGAGTTCAAGATGACTGAGAAGTCTGTCGGCGGCCTGAGCAAGTATAAGGACGATCCTGAGGCCGCGGCCAAGACTCTCGATGCTTTGATGGAGGTTGCCATGCAGACCGTCCCCGACAAGCTCAAGTCCTGCAGCCCTGTCGCAGTGAAGGCGACTGCTGGTCTCCGTATGGTCGGCCCTGAGAACGCTCAGAAGATTCTCGACACCGTTCGCAACCACCTCGAGACCAAGTACCCCTTCCCCGTTGTTGGAAAGGAGGACAACGGTGTTGCTATCATGGATGGTGCCGATGAGGGTGTGTACGCCTGGATCACCACCAACTACCTTCTGGGCAAGATTGGCGGTCCCGACAAGAGCCCAACTGCTGCCGTCTTTGATCTCGGCGGTGGCTCGACTCAGATTGTGTTCGAGCCCACGTTTAAGGGAGCGCCGGAGGGCGGTATGCCTGAGAAGCTTGCTGAGGGCGACCACAAGTACGACCTCAAGTTCGGCGGACATCAGTTCGAGCTGTACCAGCACTCCCATCTTGGATACGGCCTGATGAGCGCCCGTAAGGCCGTTCACAAGACCTTGGTCAACGAGATGTTTGAGAGCAAGAAGACCGATGACAGCTGGGTCAAGCAGCCCATTGTTCACCCCTGCATTGCTCCCGGCATGGTCAAGGAGGTTGAGGTTGAGCTGGACGAGGGACACCCTCTTGGCAAGGCCGTCACCTTCAACTTCACCGGTCCTTCCCAAGCCGCCCCCGCGCAGTGCCGCAACCTCGCCGAGAAGATCCTCAAGAAGGAAGAGTCCTGCAAGCTCGCTCCTTGCTCCTTCAACGGCGTCCACCAGCCTACCCTTGCCAAGACCTTCGCTCGCGAGGATGTCTACATTTTCTCCTACTTCTACGACCGCACCAAGCCTCTCGGTATGCCTGACTCTTTCACTCTTCGCGAGATGCACGATCTGGCCAACTCCGTTTGTGGCGGCGAGAAGGCCTGGGATGTGTTCTCCAGCGTCCCTGGCGCTCTCAAGGAGCTCCAGGACCGCCCCGAGCACTGCCTCGACCTTAACTTCATGATGGCCCTCCTCCACACTGGCTACGAGATGCCTATTGACCGTGAGGTCAAGATCGCCAAGAAGATCAAGGGCAACGAATTGGGCTGGTGCCTTGGTGCTAGGTGAGTGATTTCCATCTGCAAATGACAGGCATCCATCACAGACGCTAATACTTTATTCTATAGCTTGCCCCTCCTTTCTCCCGGCTCAGGCTGGAAGTGCAGAGTTGACCAGGTCAACTAAAGCCTCAAATTCTCGCACAAGACTGCACAAGCCTCCCCTGGTGTTGGCTGGCTTGCAGCATTATAGATTTTTAATTCCACGACAGAACCGGGAATGTTCGATTACGAGTTGTACAGGAGTGTCATGAAGGTCATATGGCGGGTGCAGGAACATGCATCAATACACAGACCCAAAAGGCGGGCGTTTCATGTCTTGTATGGTTTCCATGGGCATTAAGGATTATAGGCTTGTTCGGACGTGACCACTTTAGAATAAAGTCGCTCACTGGATATCTTTTAAGCTTCCATCAAAGCGGTGCCGCAACCATGCCCAGCACGTCCTCAATAACGTCCTCGGGGCCCACGCCTTCGAGAATGGATTCAATGGCTTCCAGCTGGCTTCCCCACTGCATACTGCGTTCCTGTCGCGGATGCGCTATGCGTATTCGGTGCAAGTAGACTTTCCTAACGGCCAGATGAACCAAGGCGGGTGTGACAAAGTCGAGCCGGTGTAGCGGAGCCAGGCATTTAAGCAACTGCTCCAAGTGCTTCGTCGCGGTCGGCTCGATGCCGCCGGCAACTGCGCGATGCATTCGTAGGTATGAGACTACATTCATTAGGTAGCGCAAGACATCAACATCGATCTGGACATCTCGACTGCTCTTGGCGATGGCCGCAATATCCTGCAGCCGTCAGCATATGCCCAGGCACTTTGCACATGTAGAAACTTACGCCTTCACGGAAAAGAGGGTTTTCGCTGACTGCGGGCAAATCACCGTTGATGCTTTTCTTGAGCACACTCTCGGTACTCGCCGTCTCGGCCCCATCGGCAGCGTCGTACGCGTCGTCGAGATTGGGGAAACCGTCGTCCGGATCATGCCAGTGAGCAATGAAGAGGTAGTCGTTCAGGTGAAGCGTAACGTGAGCCTGGCCACCGCTTTCGGCGCCCAGGGCGGCGATGAACAGAAACTGCTTCGGGGCCGTCTGGACGGAAGTGCGTGTGAAGATACGACGGGTGCGGAGGAGCTCGAGAACCTGGATCTGCACGGCTCTTGGGGCGCGGTCGAGGTTCCGAGCCACAATGACATTGGCGATGGAGGAGCCGCCGATGCCCTGGCCGGTCGGGCTGGTTGCCGTGACGGAGGTCAGGGGGGAGATGCCCGCGCGAGAAAAGTAGGAATCATTACGGGTTCGAAAGGGCGAACCTGATCTTGGTGCTGCTAGAGACTGCTGCGTGAGGATTGACGATGCAAAGTCCTCCAGTGAGGTTTGCGGAGTGTAATTCACTACGGCGCATTTCAGACCGAAGGTCTTTGTTGCGATCTAGAACAGTGTGAGATGTGGACCTCATGAGTGGGAGAGAGATGGATTGTTGGGCTCACCAGCTGTAGCTCCTCGACAAGCTCATCGAGGGCAGCGGGAGGCGTACTGACGATGCAGTGTTCTCGATTGACCAGGCACAGCAGGGCGGCCAGTTCCAAGTCGCTCAGGCCGTGGACCTTGTCCAGGAGGCCGTCTTCATCCGCCATGAGGATCTCGTCAAGTGTTGGTCGACAGTCCCATCAGCTCATCCTGGGCCACGCATATGCTTGGTACACTTGCGGAGTGCTCGTCCACGATATACATGTGGTGTGAGGCGGTGACGGACGTTCTTCGCAAGTCGCTGAGACGTCCCGGAGCTACTAAAGGGAAGCTCAGTCGCATGGACCGTCACTGAGAACCATGATAAAGGTGTGGCGTAGGCGTCATGCGGCCCGGCTAGGTGCCTTACCTAAGCGCCGTGCCCAAGTCATTCAATGCACCTTACCGGCCAACCACCTGGGCAGCCAACAGTAAGTGTCACAGCATGTCTAGGCGGGCTCCAGCGCCTTGGAGCACCGTCACTTGGCGTTCCTCCAGGTGCCTGCCCGCCATTTACGTCAGCCAGCTGGCACATCAACAGCAGCATGCGCTCCTTTTCCTGGTTAGACCCAGTCCCCCAAGCAGCTCTTTGATAGGCTGAAACCTGCAAATGTGACGGGAGCTCTCAGTACCGCCTGCTTCCCTGTCAACCTCCACCATCACTTCTGTCTATCGATCATCGACCTGCACTCTACACCAACCAACCACCCCTGACGCACGACACCGATCCGTTTTCGACCACTTTGACATTCGAACCGATTCCTGACCCAGTCGCGACGCAGGATACAACTACCATCGCGCATCCGAAGGCCCGCCGACGCCCGACTTTTCCATTTACCATACATAGCGGACCCGACGCACCAGATCCACGATGTCATCGAGAAAGAAGGTCCTTCTCAAGGTGGGCTTTATCGGCGGCCCCAAATGCACGTGCGGCATAATTGATTGTTTCTGTGTTGCAGGTCATTATCCTTGGCGATAGCGGTGTCGGCAAGACGAGTTTGATGAACCAATATGTATGTTTTCCTGCTGCGCTGTCTGGCGGCCCGAACGGTGGTAGCCTAGAGTACTGATTTGGCTATTTCTACCTTTAGGTCAACAAGAAGTTTAGTGCAAGCTACAAGGCCACGATCGGCGCCGACTTCCTGACCCGCGAGGTCCTCGTCGATGACCGGCAGGTGACGATGCAGGTGGGTGACGCCGCGAACACATTGCCGATGGAAACAACGAACGCGTTGCTGACGGACAATAGCTCTGGGACACTGCAGGACAGGAGCGCTTCCAGTCGCTGGGTGTCGCCTTTTACCGCGGAGCTGACTGCTGCGTACTCGTCTACGACGTCAACAACTCCAAGAGCTTCGATGCTCTGGACAGCTGGAGGGACGAGTTCCTGATCCAGGCTTCTCCGCGTGACCCCGACAACTTCCCATTCGTCAGTATCTTGAAGTCCTAGAGGGATAGGACATGGACACTGATAAGAGATTAGGTCGTCCTTGGAAACAAGATTGATGTTGAGGAGAGCAAGAGAGTTGTAAGTTTTGGTGTCACCTGCGGCTACCCGACGACAAGCTTACCATTTGATTAGATCTCGACCAAGCGTGCGATGACCTTCTGCCAGTCCAAGGGCGGGATTCCCTACTTCGAGACCAGTGCGAAGGAGGCTATCAACGTCGAGCAGGCTTTTGAAGGTTGGTTGCCTCTTCCAAGGTGAACTCTTAGAGATGCTAACATTGTCCACCAGTCATTGCACGAAATGCCCTTGCTCAGGAGGAGTCGGAAGAGTTCAGCGGGGACTACCAGGATGTCATCAACATTCCCATTGAGAACCCCCGGGACGGCTGCGCCTGCTAAGCAGATTCTTGGTTGAGCAGACGGCCGACGTTGAGCGAGCAGAGCATCCCGGGCGGAACACATTTATGGGACCCGTTGTACTCGCATTCATGTTTAGTCCACGGCCCTTCACATATCCATCTTGGCCGTTGGTTTGATGTAGCATATCATGCACTGGTGTGAATGGTGTTTAGAGGTTTCTTTTTGAGTTTGAATTCACGGGATTATTCGTAGGATACCAAAGATTGCACAACTTGCCTTTAGTTGAAGTCGCATGACGTCTTGCCCAGTAATGACATGCTAAGCCGACTCGGTGATTGATGCCGCAGTTTCGGACTACACGGACGGCCGACAACTTAGTTCAAGAGATTTTGTCCAAGAAACACCTGCCCGAGCTGACGGATCATGCTGCCGTTTCTCAGCAGACTCCGCTCAGAAGACTGGAGCCATCGATGCGACTAAATGTAAAAGTTGGTGAGCCGGCACCAAATCCGACCTGGCGCCGGCTGCAGATTGCGCGGCGCCGTTCTTGGCTTTGTTCAGCGGCAGCAAGCCGTCAGCCCAGGAACTCAGTAAGATGCCTCGTGTTTGGTAAACAGGCGTAAGAAAGTTGCTCGCAGGGGCATATTTGAAGTAAAGAACGCGGAGGGAGGCTGAGACGTAGTGGCACGCGATCGCCCTATCGTCTATTGGTCGCCGGTATTTGGGACGAATACAGGGGCTACTGTCCGTGCAGTTGAAACTCTCCAACCTTGAAGAAACAACCCTTTGAACAACAACTGACACGAATCCCTTAAAATAAACCCACGTCGTCGGATATTTGGACGACGCGCGCGATCCCGACGGAGCTTGTCGGCTTACCTTGTGGACTCTAGTGTCGTACGCGGTCCAGCGACTTGTTTACCCAAGCAACTGCCAACGTTGTCTACTTCGCCATTGGGGAGGACCCAAGACACACAAACCCGGAAGCAGTCAAGTCAACGGAACGGCATAATCGTGCCGACTGCATGCGCCGAGTCACCGACGACGGGACCAACGCCCGATATTGAACAAGCTTAATCCTGCGATTCACAATTCGAGTTTGTCGTGGTCAAATGCCTGCGACCCAGACCAGATTAGACTGCAAGACGGCCGACGACCCCTCCTGATCTCCTCCCTCTCTTCCTTACGATCGCGAAACCGCCCTTCCCCCGACCGACGAGATGGCGCCCAGCGAGCCTATGTTGCCCGCTGCGATAGCGCCCGATCATGCACGAGATACCCGGAGATCATTCTCCAGCGCGGACCGGATGAGCCAATCCGTCGCGTCTACGAATAGGTCGAGGTCGACGGTGCGGTCCTCGGGATTGCAGGCGAAATTGGGACTGGCAGGCGTTGCAAGACGGACGTTGGGTATTTCATTACTGTTGGTGACGGTGTTATTATGGACGATATCCAACTTTCTTGCATCGGTGAGGCTTCCTCTCTCCTCCCTTGCAATCTCTGGCGGTGAGCGTCTGGCTGACGGCTGACTTTTGACAGTACATCTTTTCGGACCATTCCTACGACAAACCCTTCTTCGTTGTGTATATGAACACTTCGGTCTTTGCAGTCTCCCTGGTGCCCATGCTGGTCAAGTTCGTCATGCGGCACGGCGTCGAGGGCCTACGGCGCGAGGCAATGGTGGTATGGAACGAGCATAAACACGGCAAGGGAGGCCTTAAGGCGGAGGGAGACGAAGAGGACGCGGTGGCGGGCGAGCGGCTGCTGGTCGACGACGAGCCGAGCCTGGAGGCGGAAGGTTACGAGCCTAAGGTCGAGCGCATGAGCTTCCGGGAGACGGCCATCATAAGCCTTGAGTTCTGCATGCTGTGGTTCTTTGCGAACTACCTGGCATCCGCGTGTCTGGAGTACACGAGCGTAGGGAGCGTCACTATTCTGAACTCCACGAGCAGTGTGTGGACGCTCGTGTTCTGTGCGCTGATGCGGGTGGAGGGATTCACAATTCGCAAGTTCATTGGAGTGTTGGCGTCGTTGACAGGCATTGTCCTCATCTCGACCGTGGACCTCTCGGGCTCAAGTGACGAGAACCGCGGGTCGTTCCCGCACAAGACGACGTCGCAGATTGCGATTGGCGACTCCATGGCTTTTGTTAGCGCCATCATCTATGGCCTCTACGTCACCGTCATGAAGGTGAGGGTCGGTAACGAGGATAGGGTCAATATGCCGCTCTTCTTCGGCTTGGTGGGCCTATTCAACTTGGTATTCCTCTGGCCGGTGTTCTTCATCCTGCACTTCACCGGCATGGAACCGGTACGTGCCCGGTCCAACCGAATATCTACGCAATTCTGACAGTGTCACAGTTTCAACTTCCGCCGACAGGCAAGATCTGGGCCATTGTCATTGGCAACTCTCTGTCTTCCTTCATTAGCGACATGTCGTGGGCGTATGCCATGCTGCTCACTACGCCTCTGGTGGTGACGGTTGGTCTGTCTCTGACGATTCCTTTGTCGCTCATCGGCGAGATGATACAGTACTCGCAATACTCCAGCTGGGTATACTGGGTTGGTGCGGCAGTCGTTCTCATCTCCTTCTTATTCATCAACCACGAGAGCAAAGAAGACGAGTCAGGTGATAAGAGCCCCCAGGCAGGATCCAGGGGGGCACAGTTATAGAAATATTTGTCAATGCTAATTAAGAGGCACGAGCAAGGCCGCCGTGTAGAGCCCTAGGCGGCACCACTGTGCATAGACAAGGCGTTAGGCGGGCGTATGCCAGGATCAGGTTACCTCCTGGAACGCTGATACGGGCATGATACCAAGTATCTGCTCTTTTTGGTTGATAATCCAATTACTTTGCATCGCGTGTGTTTCCGTAAGGACTGTCTGTCAAGTGAGCCGGATCGAAAGTGAGCGGCACATTTAAGCAGCTTGGCACTCCCAGCTACACGCTTGTCTTGCTGCAATCCGTCTTGGCATCTACTAGTGATGCACAACGCGCCATCCAACGGAAGACTCGGGGGAGCTTCACACGATGAGCAGTGGGTATCTGCAAGTCGCGCAGCGGAGAGAACACGAGGAGCGCTTCGGGTCATTGGCTGCCCGAGGGCGAGCGAGATTATTAACACACCAGTCAGTCCTCGAAGGAGAAGAGGGCACAGCCGAGGGCGGGACGGCCTGCATGAGACGGGATTTCTGAGAATTCCATGGTCCAGTTTTCCAAAAGACGATGTTTGCTCCTTTTGGGGTGTGATCGACGGGAAAGGAGCCGCGCAACCGGATTCGCCTGCCTTGGCCTGTGGTCCTCGTGCTGGTGTTTTTTTCCTGTCGTCAACTCCACCAAAGGCGAAGGTTTGCTGGGCTCCCCCCTGCGCTGATAGAGTTGCGGGAACGCTGAAAGTATGTTGAGTTTAAGCCTTTTGGGTGTTATTTACGTGGTAGCACGGTTGTAACGTGGGCAGACATCTGTGCTGGTGACGATGGAGAGAGCGCTGAAGTCCAGCGACCTTTCTAAGCACGGGCTTGAGAGGCTCCTTCTGGGGAAGTGCAGCTTGAAGATAGGACCGATCAGTGTGGACGATGCTGGGCAGAAGCAGTGGCTTGACATCCGTGGGTGATGGCCTGCCAAAAAGCCGATCGATGGGGGAGAGTCTTCCTTCTGCAGAGGGGGCGCTACTTTTAGGTGAGGTCTCGGGTCTCGTTTCTTCCTTGGGGCTGTCTCTCCCAGCTTCCAGGTTCTCTGGGCAAGCCACGCCACAGGGCCATTCTTTGCCCGCCGTGTCCAGCGTGTTTTGCTGTGTCTTCCAGCGCAGCGGCGCAGAGTCGCAGTGGCACAAAGTTCCAGAGAGGCCCAGGCCGATGGGAAAAAGTGGCCCTACGGGGCGAGACCGCGCACAATGGCACCTCTCAAGACCCCTGAACCTGAACATGTCGGGTCGGCCATCCGCTGTCGCTGTCACTTTCCAGGCCCCCCCTCGCCATTCCCCCGCTCTCCTCTCTCAGTGTCCTCGTCCCCCCTCTTAAAGGTTTCCCTGGGCGTGGATCCTCGTCAGTTTGCTCACTCACTCCACGCGCGCGCATGTTGTCGCCTCTTCCCAAATTTATTTTCCTTTCTGATCCTCAAGTCGTCGAATGGTCTGTGTGCCGATCAGCAGTGAGTGATCGCGTTCGCCCCCCGAGCGGATCGGGGGCTCTCCAGAATGTGGCAGTGAAGTCGTTGGTCATGGACTCCGTTCCGTCTTTTGGAGCTGGTCTGAAGCGGGAGTGGCCCACGGGAGCTAAACTCTGGCCGTAAAGAAAGCCGACGAGACCTTTGTGGCTCCGTCAACTTGGGAATAGCACTTCCGCCAGACAAGAGAGACATGAACGAACTTTTGTTTCTCGACAAGCCAGCACAAACAAACACCTGAATCACCTGGACTGAACTCGCTGGATACTCTGCCCGCCCGCGTCTGCTCCACGGTTTAGGCGCACAACTCAACGTGAGCGCAAGGTAGCCTCATGCTTCCTGCCATACCAGCGCTAGCTCCTTTTCCAACCCCGTTGGCCCTGTTCCTGTCTGGTTTCTTTTGGGGGCACTATTTCTTTCCTCCCCTTGTCAAATACGCATCTCGAATATCCTGGTGTATTCCCCTGTCAACCCGGCGCAGAAACAGACGCCAGGCCGAGAGAGTCCTGGTTCCATCTCGCGCATCGCATCGGGCCCCGTGTGACCTTTCTCTACCTTAACCCCGGGAATCCAGAACCTCTCACTTTTGTTCTCTCTCTTGCTGCCTTCACTCCTTCCCTAACCCATACTTGCTCCTGGCACCGTCGCTGCCCCTTCCTCGCAAGAGCTACTTTCAATCTGACTGGCCCGTCGGTCTCGAGCTCTTGGCGGGAGCGAAAAAGACAAGAGGCAACCCGATCACTGGACCGCACCGTCTGCCAAGGATCGACGCTACGGCTGCCGCTTCCAGTTGGTTTCTCATCTACGTCTGTTCCCTTCCCTCCCTCTGTCTTGTTTTCTTGCATTACACCTCCAAGTCACCCAGAGCAGTAAGG